GCATTGGTAAGCCTGATGGATAGCCCCTCATCAGAGCTGAACAACCAATGAAAATCTGAAGCTCCCATGTTTAACAGTTTTTGAGCTATAACCATTTTTGTATCCAGATACCCCTTTTTCAGATAAATTGGGGGTCTGGGGTAGTGGGGGGGGCACTGACTGATGGGCCTGATGGCTAGAGCTTCATCAGAGCTAAACAACAAAATAAATCTGAAGCTCCTTTGTTGAACAGTTTCTGAGTTATAAGCATTTTTGCATGTCCAGACACCTCCTCTTTGAAAGGAGCCCCCTCCTCAAATATGGGGTGTATCGTCAAACCGTTGGCTGGCGCACTGTAGGTCAGACTCATCTATAGTCCTGCCAAATTTCATGTTGATTGGTGCAGCCGTTTTTGTGCTATGGTTGACCAAAAATCACTGAAGAAGAAAAAAAAAAGTACGAAAACAATATGACTCCCGCTTAAGCTTCGCGTGCGGAGTGTCTCAAACTTGGTATCATTACCAGGGGGTTAAGGTCCCTTAAAAGGTTTGTTCTTTCCTATGACCTTGAAATTGACCAATTTTGATAAAAAAAAATATAAATTGGACAAAATTAACCATAAAATGCGTAATAAATGTTCACATTTACATGAATATATACAACCTCAATTCCAATGAAGTTGGGACATTGTGTAAAACATAAATAAAAAACAGAATATGATTTGCAAATTCTTTTTGACATTAAAATCTCTTCTTGCAACTAGCAAAAGTTCCAACCAGTTCTGTTATAAGGTAGTGCCACCGTCTTTATTTCAGAGGCTAGCTAAATTATCTGTCAACATGAGCACAAGCTTGGTAGATTGTTGGGGGAAATTCTCCATGCTGTGGACCTGCTGACTCCTAAAATGATTGAGCAGGGATTCACGTAGAGCTCAGCAGCTGTGGATGAGTGGTTAGGGGAGTCGTCTTCCAATGAGAGTTAGGGGTTTGATGTGTGTCCCAACAGTGTATGACTGTGATTTAAAGCACTGACTAGTCTCTATAGAATGATTTATCAAGATTAGATTTATAGGGAGACATGATAGAGTGCTGTAAATGAGGGACGCAGATTGTACTGTAAAACACTTTGGGTATCCTAGTTGAATAGAAAGGCATAACACCCATCCTGCTAACTCTTGGCTGTGTACTCGGAGTTGCTATTCTCAGACGAGGCTTATGTCCCTGCCCTAGGGTCAGATTGCAAAACCCACTCCCTCAGGCACAGGCTAACCTGGTCATGAAAACTTGCCTGCACAGTAGGGCTGAGCAAAAATCGTATCATGTGCAACTAATAATAATGATACATTTTATTTGAAGGCGCCTTTCATGGTACTCAAGGACACCGTACAATGTAAATACAATGCAATAAAACATAAGAATAAAGCATAGAATAAAATAACAATAAGATATCAGTTTACATAATAATTAACAAATAAAAACAATGTATAAAACAAAACATCCTACAAAAGTAGGGTTAATGGGAGATGTTGATTAAACTGAATAAGCCTGTTTAAAGAGAAAAGTTTTAATCTGTGATTTAAAAATGGAGACAGTAGGAGAGTTTTTGATGTCCGGTGGGAGTGAGTTCCAGGGGTGGGGTGCCGAGTAACTAAAAGCTCTTGAGCCCATAGTGGTCAGATGAGCTGGTGGTTGAGTGAATTGGATGTAGGAGGATCTGAGAGTGTAGGAAGATGTGTTAATGTGAAGAAGTTCTGAGATACTGAGGGGCAAGATTATTGAGGGCTTTGAAGGTGAGGAACAAGATTTTATAGGAAATATGAAATTTGATCGGGAGCCTGTGAAGATGCTTTAAGACAGGTGTTATATGACTGGTGGAAGGGGTTCTGGAGATGATACGAGCAGCTGAGTTTTGGACCAGTTGTAGTTTATGGATGGATTTTGCTGGTAAACCGAAAAGTAGGGAGTTGCAATGATCTAGCCGTAATGTGACCAAAGTGTGAACTAGAATAGCGTGCTGCTGGGTGAGAGGGATGGATGGAGACGAGCAATGTTACGGAGGTGAAAGTAGGCTGAACGAGTAACGTTAGTGATGTGAGATTTAAATGATAATATGTTGTCTAGGATGACACCCAGACTCAACCTGAGGGACGGGGGATGTCGAGGTGCTGTCAATGAGAATAGAAAAGTTGTTGGTTTTTGCAAGGGTGGATTTAGTTCCAATGAGAAGAAATTCTGTTTTGTCACTATTTAGTTTAAGAAAGTTGCTTGTGACCCAGGACCTGATATCAAATAAGCAGTCAGACAGTGAGGTGGGTGGGAGGGTGGCATTGGGTTTGGTGGACAGATAGAGCTGGGTGTTATCCGCATAACAGTGGAATTGGATGTTACATTTACGGAAAATATTTCCAAGCGGAAGAAGGTAAATGATAAAAAGAAGAGGGCCGAGGACAGAACCTTGTGGAACACCAGAACAGAGAGGGGTTGAATGGGATGAAAAAGATTTTAATTGAACAAACTGTGTACGACCAGAAAGGTATGAAATAAACCAGTTAAGGGGTACCAATACGTGAAAGACTGTCATTGAGGACGGTGTGTGAAATGGTGTCAAAGGCTGCGCTTAAATCAAGGAGGATGAGAATGGAGAGGACCTGAAAACGTTTTGGCACTTGGTGATTGATAAAATTAATGCTGTCAAACAGGCTGGCCACTTGATGCTCCTCTTTGCTTTCCTCTTCTAATCCAAATAATAGAGCTCTTACTTCCTCATCAAAGTCATCTCTAGGGTTGAGCAGTATTAACCATTTTCATACCGCAGTATAACCATTGGAAAATACAGCAGCATACAGTTTTACTGGAAGGCCCCAGGATTAGACACAATGATTAGTATTGTGGCAAAACAGCAACGTATTTAATATCATCAATATCAAGCTTCCTTTTCTCACACTAGCACTCAGTATATCACATTTTATTTAAGTCATAGTTTCACTTTGGTAAGTGTTATTTAGTTCTGTGTTCCTTTTTAATTTGCATGAAGTTTGGGTCAAATTAACCAAATAAAACACTCCCTTGTTTCATTTCATTGTAATATTTTCTTAAGAGATACTATTTCTGATAACTTCAATGGTCTGCAGGTTTCTGTTTATAGTTCAAAGTGAACAAAAAAATTGTGACCTTTTATTTTTAAGTGAGTTTAAAATAAAATCAAGAACATTTTTATTCCAATACAGAACTTCAAAACACAGCATATAAAAAGGAGCATGCCCACTTTCCTACCGTTGTGGGGGTGTCGGTGGGACCTTGGGGTACACATCACGTGCAGGTGGAGAGTAAACAGGAGGTGGTTCTTCATCTGAGCTGTCTGGTTCTAAAGTTCGCTCCAGAATCTAAACAGAAACAAAAACTTATTCTTGTTTTTGAAATGAGTTTATAAAACAAACTTGACTGTGAGAATGTGATAAAAAGCTGTCTTACTGTTAACTGTATGGAAGTAACAATTAATCAAGAATCAATTCATAATCGATTAACTGCTTGAAGTGTGATTCGATTTAAAAAAAATAAATGAATCGATTTCATTACTGTCGAGCATGTCTGCACCGACACATTTTTACATGCCTTCTTTAAAATACCGTAACTTCAACAGTTTGCGCAATCTTTCAGTGGAAAGTTACCAGAGACAGAGAGGTTTTTTTTTTTTCATTGTGAAGAGTAAACAATAAAAAGAACAATGTCTGAAAGACATTAATAAAACTACCATGGATGATTTTGAAACACAAGGAAATGTAAAAGAACCAGCTTCTTGTGAAGAAAAGGTAACATTAATTTGATGGATTTCCGGGTTGGATTTGTAATAAAATAAGCACTTAATTCACTAGAATGAAGCCAGTTTTTACATTTTATATGTTATTACATGTGTAGCTGGATGGTTGTTTTTTTATAGTGACTTTTAAAACAGTGTAACAAAATCAGTAGGTTTATACAATATATAATTGAAGCTAGTAATTAAATCCTGAGGGCATTATGCTCTACAAATCATGGCCTGTTTGGTAACTTTTTTTAAATCAATTTACGTTTGCGCAGGAAACCATGCCTTGTTTTTACTATAGTGTGACAAGCTGAATATTTTTCTCTGCTACTTTCTATTTGTTTTGTAGTGAGGAGAAGGGGGAGAGAGATGGAAGCCCCACAGCACTTGAAAGAGGGGCCATAGCACGTTGAATGTGATGCTGTGAAAGACAAAATTCGCTCACCACATCATCCAAGATGGAGAAATAAAAAAAAAGGGTGATGATGAGGTCCTCCAACCTCCAGACTGGAAGTATGGGGAGTGTGATGTGGGACTGTGTCTGCAGCTTGAGAGAAAATACTTCTGGCTAGACCACAAGAACAAAGTTTGGGGAGGAGAAGGAAAAAAACCCGTGTATTTTGTTTTCATTTTTGGACCGTTTTTTTAAAGTTATGCATGCTACTGTATTTTGGCATTGATATCGATATTGGCGAAAACTGGTCATTTTTTAGAGTATTGGTCCGATATGTAAAACTGGGCCAATATTAACGTCCCATATTGATTTCTTAATTTTTAGCTTTAGTTTATGTTTTGGGAGGGGAGATGGTTGGTGGAGCGGCATCTGTTTGATCATGACAGTGATATTGATGCTGCGCAGCCAGGAATAACTGAAGTAGAACCATGTCAGAGGTCTGGACATTTATTTAAAATATCAAAAAAATACCCAAGTGTGTTTGTGTGTCTATGTATAATATAATTTGTGTGTTTGTGTAATATCGGTAAATATCAGTTATCAGCCATAACACCAATAATTATATCGGGTATCGATATCGGCTGAAATTTTCATATCGGTGCATCCCTAGTTTTTTCTTTTATTCTTTCACTTTTAAAAGAAAAGTTCTAAAAGTTTTACTGTAAATGTATTTTAAACTGTCTGAAGTTCAAAAAAATTTTGCCAAATATTTTGTGTACATTTGTTGTTTTTTTGCTCACTAAACTTCTAATAATTTTTTGTTGTTGTTTTTCCTCCTTTTAAACTAACAATACACTCTTTTAGTAGACAGTAAATTATAAATAACTGATATTGAAAGTTTTAATTGTTATAAAACAAAGTGCAAACATATTTTCTCACAGGACAATTAATGGCCTTTGTACAGTTAAAATAAGCACAATAATAAAACAGGCAGAAATTTGGAGCAACAGGTGTTAAAGGAGACCAATTATGGGTCCTAGAAATTGTTATGGTATGTCTGTGGGCTATCCAGACCATGTTCATTCAATTTAATGCACAAAATAATTCTCAGATAATAAAATTTCCCATTTTCTAGTTCTGCCTGCTCTGACTTCCGTTCAGAAGAGCTGTTTATGTTAATGAGCTCTGTTGGTAACGCCCTCCAAAAATCTGTTGACATTAACTCCGCCCTCCAAAGCCAGCGTTTACCTTAGCATGGCTAATAATAGCAGAAGCTCTGTTGTACAACCATATGAGACCCAGAGGCAGAGTCCTGGTCCCAGCTTCTTCTTTTTTCTCTCCCTCCTCTGCTCTGCACTCACTCTGCATGTTGTTACCAGAGCAGGGAGCAGCAGCAGTCAAAATACCTCAGAAACTCGAACAAATAGGCTTTAACAAGGCTTTAATAAGCTAAACAATAGAGGTACATGAGAAAACGTGTTCATAACGAACGAAAATAAATAAATAATTAAATAGTGTCCATGCTGGTCTCACCCCTGATCTCCCACTCTCTGGTCCAACACTCTACCCATTGCCCTATTGGAGGCTTGTTGTGAAATGAGCTGCGCATTGCTCAACAACATGGTGACAGCTTTTTATACTGAAGGGGTGGAGTCTTACCCGGGGTTTGTTAGATAAGGGGCTGAACGCAGGTTCAGGTGGGTTGACGTATGGCTTGTGACATCACAAAATGACGGAAGTATAAAACTTGTCATTAATGTACATTAAAAATACATTTACTTACAGTAAATATGCCCCTGGGTGCATTTTTTTGGTCCTAGGACTGTTTTTTTAAGAAGTACAAACCCAAAGTTGAGTAAAAAAACCTTTAAAAAGTGAATTTTGCATAATAGGTCCCCTCTAAGGGTTAAGATGAACTCAGTTTGATAATTATGGTCACAAAAGAATGTGTGACCACATTATTATTTATTTTGAAGTTATGTTACTAAGACAAAAGACAGTTACAATTTGATACAAGGACAAAAACGCTGACGTTGAAATAAAAACCTCATTTTGTTGAAAAAAATAATTGTAATCGTGTACTCAAAATTGATAATCGATTTGAATCGGGGCCTGAGTGAATCGTTACATCCCTAATTAACATCAATGAACCATTTGGATCACTGACCTCTGCTGGAATGCTGTCATCTGAGTCAGAACTGTCATCAGAATCATGTCCATCAACAGTCATCTGAAGAAGCTGGTCAATGGTGGCGTCCACAGCTCCGTTATTTGAGCGGAGCACACACTCAATCACCTCGTAATCCATTGAGGGGAACATGGTCTTGAAGTCCTCCATGGCTTGATTGAACTCGAGGCGCCTGACCAGCTGGTTAGGTCTGCTGTTGTTGAGCTGCCCATGGGTGGCACCAGAACCACCTCCACTTTCACTGCTCTGAGACCCTCCATTGTTGCTGTTGCTGCGTCTGAATAGGCTTGTCATCCTTTTGGGCCCAGCTACCTCAGTTGTTGGTTCCACTTCAATACAAACGTTTGGTCCGTTCAGACTGAACTGTTCCTGTTGCTGTCTTCTGGACTGCACCCACACATTAGAGTGTCTCAGAAGTCCCGATAAGCTGATGTTTGTCTTCAGTTTTTGGTGCAAAACTGCATCTGGAACAGCTGGTCATCCTGCGGAGGGTTTAAGAAAGGAAACTGAAGTGAAGAGAACGTACATAGATACACCTGAGTCATCAATAAATACAGAGAAAGCCAAACTGAGATTAGTAAGGAAGGATCTGAGCTTCAATCCTTTTCAGCTACAGATTTGACCACTTACTGATTTCAGTCAGCTTATGAGCTCAGTGTCAACCTGTCAGTATCAAGTTCTGTGTCAATGTAAAGAACGGTCATCCTAAGGTTCTGGGTCATCAAATGGGTCTGTCATTGCAAAGGTCTGTATATGTAAAGGTCTGTATATGTAAAGGTCTGTGTCATGGCAAAGTTCTGTCTCAACAAGGTCTACAGGTGCTGGTCATAAAAGTAGAATATCATGAAAAGTTGGTTTATTTCAGTTATTCCATTCATAAAGTGAAATTTGTATATTATTTTTATTCATTACACACAGACTGATATATTTCAAATGTTTGTTTCTTTTCATTTTGATGATTATAAAACCTGAAATTCAGTATCTGAGAAGATTAGAATATTACCAAGAGCGATAAAAAAAAGGATTTTTAGAAATGTTGTCCAACTAAAAACTATGAACATGAAAAGTGTCGATCAGATCTGGCACCTGCTAAAGTTGTGTGTTGGTTTATCCATTAATGACCACTGTTTGGTCATTAATTACCACTGGGGGAGATCAGTGTTGTGATTTTTCCCTAAGTCTATGCAAATTTATTTTGTTTTAGTCATGTTAAAACTTAAAAATGATTCTTGGCACCAATTTAAAGTAATTGACAACCAAGCCATGTTTATGGATTTCCCTGCTAAGAAGTGACACAATGACAGGATCATCAGCAAATTTGATGATGTGATGTCCACTGCGATGGTTCTGGCAGTCATTATTCTGTAAAACAAATAACAGTGGTGAGAAGACACAGCCCTGGGGAGACTATGTAGGAGAAAAAAGGTTCAGATAAACACCATTCATTCAGACTCTTCTCCTCACTGTTAAAAAAAACTAGCCAACCAGATAAAGTTTGTGTTGGTTTATGCTAACCAGCCTCGGCTGTATGTGTTAGTTTATGCTAACCAGCCTCAGCTGTTTGTGTTGGTTTATGCTAACCAGCCTCGGCTGTATGTGTTGGTTTATGCTAAAAGCTAAAGCTTTATCTGGTAGCTTATGCAAACCAGGTAATGTTGTTTGTTGGTTTATCAGCACCTGCTAAAGTTGTATGTTTTAGGTTATACTAACTAGCTTAAGCTGTAAGCTGGTTTATGCTAACCAACTAAAGCTGTATGTACTGCTTTATACATAATCGATCCAATTATCATTAGTTTGTATGGGTCCAGAGAGGATTCCAGTAGATTTTTAAAGTCAATTTTAGTGTTGGACAAACTTTTCATAAGCTGTCGAAATGTTATGGTTTGACAGGAGCTTAACCAAATAAAGTTATATGTTGATTTATGCTAACCAGCTGAAGTTGTGTGATGGTTTACGCTAACCAGCTGAAGTTGTTTGATGGTTTACGCTAACCAGCTGAAGTTGTTTGATGGTTTATGCTAACCAGCTGAAGTTATTTGTGCTGGTTTATGCTAACCAGCTGAAGTTGTGTGTTGGTTTATGCTAACCAGCTGAAGTTGTGTG